ATATATGGAGCATTCAGTTCCTTTATCAAGTGATGTTAAAGAGGCAGGTTTGCATTTGATATATATTTTTGCTTATTTCAGGATCTTTTTAAAAAAAAAATCATTACATTTAATATGTAACCTAGCAATTACCGGTAGTATAAAGCACGGTTTCTTAAACTGTGGCTCCCAACCCAAATGGGGTCCCCTTGGTGCGATCTTGGGGTCACGAAAAAATTGGCAACAGTAAAAGGTTTCTGAATGCCACCTTGACATTTACATGAATCTGTTTGCAGTGTTTTCGGGGGATTCTGTAGAAAATGCTTCAGCCGTACTCCACGAAAAGGAAAATCAGCCAGCTTAGCAAGCCTTGAAACACCTATCAGTATATGTTTGATTTTATGCCTATTTTATATACCTGGTGTAACGTAAAAATTCTCAGGCAGAGAGGGGCTGCAAGTGGAAAAGATTTAAGAAGGCCTGGTAAAAAAGGATTGCAAAATGCAAATAACACAATACACCATGATTTATCATGACAGGAATGAGAATACCGTCTTCTCAGATTGTGCATGTTTCTCTCATGAGACTCAAAGGAATTTTTCTTCCCTTTTCTGAAAATCATTTGTAATGGTATCTTTTTAAGGGGAAAAAAACTAGTTTCAAAACACCACATGCCAAGGTGAAGTTGGAAGGATGGTTTTTCCCCCCAATTTTTCAGTCCTCAAGAGTTTCCCTAGTCATAATTTCTTTGCTTCCTGTTGACTTTTGCCAAAATTGCTTTCATAATTTTGTGTTGTCAACCAGAGTCACTTCTTTGACAGCACACAGTCTATGTAATATGCAGATTACCTGAAATTACCTGAATAAGATTATACGTGCCACTCAGCAATATCAATAGTGAGCATCATCTCACACCCAAAGATTATGTGTAACTTCCACTTTCTTTTTCACAGTTATTTGTATCATTCTTTCTTCTTAAGGATTGCTTGACTGAAAGATAATTTTTCAATCCTGCCTTTTATTGTGTAGAATCCTCACATCTCAATGCCAGCAAGATATACTTGAATGATATTGAAAATGTGGGTGCTTGTCTAGAAAATATGATTGTGTGTAGAACTGTTGGGACACAATCACAACTTTACCTGATTTTTTTTATCATGTCAGAAGTGCCTTGAGAAACTGCAAGTTGCTTCTGGTGGGAGAGAATTGTCCGTCTGCAGAGATATTGCCCAGAGGACACCCAGATGTGTTACCATCATGTGGGAGGCTTCTTTCATGTCCCTGCATGAGAAGCTGGGGCTGACAGTCGGGAGCGCATCCCATCTCATGGATTCGAACCACCAACCTTCAGGTCACTAGTTCAGCTGGCACAAGGGTTGATCCCACTGACACTAACAACACAGGAAATACCAAATCTGTTTCTATCCTGGACTGGCTGTCAGGCTGGTTTAGGAGGAACAATGGTAGTCACTCATATTCAAATATATATAGTGGGAAAGTAAATAGGCTATCTAATTTTTAAAATGCACAACTTGAATGCCTATGATTTAAGTTGTATGGATACCCCCTCCATCACTGCAGATCACAATGGTTTCACATTACATTGTATTCGTAGTCCCTATAGTCAGTTCATCACTTGCTGGTCTGACATCTGTTGATGAGCATCTTCATATTTTTACTACTTGGTTAATCACAATGTACTCCAAAATACTAGTTGAAGAGAAAAAATCGAACGCAGTACGATCTATAGTCAATCATTAGATTCCCTCGCCTTTTGCATTCTTGGATATAAATGGATTAATTTTTTTCATTTCCATGGGAAAATATTGATTACTGGAGAATGGTGTGATGAGGTGCTAACATCACAATCACCCCTGATGCTAAGTGGCCCAACCTCCATCAATGGAATGGTTGCAGTGATTGATGGAACAATGCATTGCACAGTCAGCCAAACCTTTTGACTTTCAGGTTATTCCTGCAATTTAGAGATAATGGGAGCATGGAATCTGAGAAGTGACACTTTTTGCCCAGGCATTGCTGTCCATAAACATCCCACCCATTATACTGATGGCCATTGCTGTAGTCCAGAAGTAAAATCCTTGTGCTAACCATTAGAAGGTGTGTATGTGAGAGGCAGACTCTTTAACAGGCCCAAAGTCTTTAGAAATTGCAATGTTACAAGAAGCCATTCCCCCCTTTAATATGTCCCCATTTCCATTCAGCAGTCTTTATAAAGACCCATTCGGTTAATAACCATTTGTCAACCATAATGAGCCATAATTTTCAGCTCCCAGACTCTACTTAGATGTTACTGATACCACTTTTGCTGTAAAAGGAAGCTGATTCCCTTAAACTGTACCTATTTGGCTCCATAGGTCAATTCCATTCATTTGTACTTTTGCCACACATCAACCTGAAACAGTCTGTCTTTCAATATGAGAAAAAGAGGGCCTGGAGGACATTGTATGTTCCTAAACACTTAATAATTATGATAACCCAACGGAAACGGGAGATCAGGAGGTCAGATAGGCGACACACCCCTCCCCATTTGGGGGAAAGTAGAGGGGGAAGAATTGATCTGGTGCCTGAATGAAGTCTGACACTCTGCCTCTGTGTTGTCTATGAACCACGTTTAAAATGTGTCTTTAGAACCAGCATTGACCTACAATGTTCAGATTTGCAGACGTTTCCTCTTCCCCCATTCCCACCCCCAAATCCTTGATTGCCAAGCCATGTGTTGGATCCAATTGTGCTTTTGTGCCTGCAGTCATCAGCCTCCAGTTTCTCCTTGTGCTGGATGGATTTTGGTGATGGTACGATGTAAACGAGTGTCATCCACGCACCCCCCCCCCCCCCCCCCCCCCCCACTTTGTTAACAGAATGAATCAGAAGGAAGAGGCTGGTGGCTGTGCACGGAATGCTTCTATTTCTGCAGAACTGCTTGGCAACTGCCAAAAAAGCAAGCAGGGGAGGAAGTGGAAAGAGACATCTTGGCAACACATGGGATTTTGGGAGAAGAGACTACCCAAGAGTTCTTGGATGCTCCTCTTCCTGCATCAGTTGACCCAAAAGCACACATCTCCTTCCTTTGCTTGCCATTGTCTCGCAAAATGCCTTTATCATCACAGTCAGGCTGGTTTAGGAGGAAGAACTAGCATATTGTCAAGACCTCCTGGCTGCTGCTATATGTCTCTTTCTGTTGGAAGTGAGGACACACTGGAACTTCTCTCAGCAAATGCCAAAAGCCAGCCTAAGTGATTAAGAGTCAGGTTCTGTTCATACTGGAGTGTGGTCTCCATGTCCAAATCTTAATACCCGAGTCTTATCACTGCTTTATTCCAAACCCAGTGCTTATAAAGAAAGATGGAAGGAGTACACTCAGATAGGTCTCAGGGACCTTGACCTCTTTCTCCATTGTACAGGGAAGGGTGAGGAATCTCAAGTCAAGAACATTGTCAAGAGCCATTGAGAATCAAATCTGGATATATCCTCAGCTTGCCTGTCTGAACATATCTCCCTCTATGATCTACCATGGAGGTTACGGTCTTCTGGGAAGGCCCTGCTCTCAATCCCGCCTTCTTCGCAGGCCCATTTTGCAGGGACAAGAGACAGGACCTTCTCAGTGGTGGTGGTGGTCCCTCCACTATGGAACTCCCTCCCCAGTGAAATTAGAGCAGCCCCCTCCCTTCTGACCTGCAGGAAGAAAGTTAAAACCTGGTTATGGGATCAAGCTTTTGGCTAACAAGCTAGTGAATTATGAGTATAAGGAATTGTGAAATGATTATCCTTTCACACACAGCTTCTCTATACTGTTTAAGAAAAAATAATAGCATCAAAAATATTTGCAGCATCTACTCAAACTCCGGAAGAATCAAAAAGGCAGAAAATGGAACCCAGGGTTAGGACTTTCCATTATAAAATGTTCTTCATCTTTTCTGGGCTTCATTCTATTCTGACTTACCCATATAACATGGCATAAAAAAGGTGTGATTTTATTATATTTTACCTATTTTTGAGAGATGAGTTCACTTATGCATGCTCTTTAAACTGCCACATTTTTCTCCTGTTGGTTGTGGAAATGCACACATAGAACTGAAATAAAAAAGATGTGTTGTCTTATCATTAGGACAAGGGATAGTAAATAAAGTGGAGGAATAGGGACTGGCAGCAGCATTTCTCCTACTTCACTACATAATTATTTCATTTCACAGGACTACTTGCACTATAGAATTGATATTGGATTGGGGAATTATTGTCCAATAATACTTTAGGAGGTTTATGGCCATTTCTCAGACGTACTTTACTTGTGTATGGCAGGGGGTAAGATGGCCCTTGTGTTCCCTTCAAGTTCTATGATTTTTTTTATTTTGATTTTTTTTGCTTCTATGTCTGTGAAAGTCATACTAAGGAAAATGTGAGCGGAAACAACAAAACAAAAAGAACAAAAATAATGAATGATTGGTGAAGTATTCTGTTTATAAGTGTAAATAACAGTGCCAGACCAAAACATCTTGCAGCCTGAGGTAAAACACACACGCACGTGCACACACATGTTATTTGGGTATCTGAGGCAGAAAAACCCACAAAGTCACCTGTCTATAAAATGTAAGTGCAATCTTAAATGAAATAACAATCTGCTTCCTTTTCAGAATCAGCTGCCTGAGATGGCAGCCGTAAGCCAGGAGTGGTGATGATAAATAAGTACATATTAGTGGATTGTCCAGGGAAGTGGAACACACTCTTCAATCACAGTCTTCAGTTGTACAACACACTCCTGATTTCTTCATAGTACACATTCTGCTATGATCACACCAGGAGGTGGAACAATGGGTCCTCTGATGGGATATAGTTATGATACAGAAAGTCTTCTGCTGAGAGGCTGAACTAACAAATCTTACTTGTTTAGTCAGAGATGAATTCATAAGTATATACGTGACATTTTCTCCTACCAGAATGACATTTTCTCCTACCAGGTTACTAATATCAAGAAATAACTTGAGATGTTTCATATTCCTTTACAGTCAATGGCATGGGTCTAAAGTAGCTTGTTTCTAAATTACTTCTACAGAAATAAATAAAGGTGCAAGTAAACTTGAACTCTATAAAGTGCATCCAGCTCTTGATGTTAGGGGGCCATGGTACTGTCTCAGCGGGAAGGTAAAAGGACATGCAGATATGCAGACATGCTGCAACACAATTGGAGATGTCCATGGGCAACAGGCTCCTTGACATGGAACAAGAGTACCTCCCCATGGCCAGAGTTGAGCATTGCCTCCAGACACTGGAGATGGAAAAAAGGGGAAGCCCTTTACCTTTGTCTGGGTCATATGTCGTTGCTCACTGTGCATGTAAAAAGGCATTGAATGTTTGCCTCATATGTGTATTATAATCCACTCTGAGTCCCTCCAGGGTGATAAAGCTGAATATAAATAAAGGTTGTTGTTGTTGTTGTTGTTGTTGTTGTTGTTGTTGTTGTTATACTAAATTGACTGAGTGGGGTTGCTGGAAGAAATGGATCTTCAACTATGTCTTCAATTCTGACAGCTAATCTAGCTTTTGGAGCTCTTCTGACAGGTTATTCCACAGTCTTGAGGTGACCTATGAAAAGGTCCTCTGAGTGATGGTGGCCCGTTAGGTTCTGGCTGGATGGAGTAGCCACCCTCCAGAAGACCAAAGTGAGAGGAGCGGATTATATGGGAGAAGGCAATCCTGTAGGTAAGCTGGACCCAAACCATGTAGGGCTTTAATGGTCAAAACCATTATTTGGAACTTTGCCCAGAAACTTTCTGGCAACCAGTGGAGTGACTCTAGTATAGGTGTAATGCACTTACTCCAATCTGGCTGCTGCATTTTGAATGAATAAGAGTTTCCAAACTTGGTACAGAGATAGCCCAATGTAAAGCACATTGCAGAAGGATATGGTGATCAATGCATCCATGTATCTAAGCATGCACCCCACATGACCAAAAACCTCCCAGGTGTGTCTGCAACCACCTGAAAGACCCTCCCCACTTTCCCTCTCTTCTTCCTCCTTCAAGATTATGTTTACCAGCTCTGGTGAGCTTTCTCTTTACTTGAAATTCTCCTCTAGGTAGCCTAGGCAATGTATGTATTTATGTTTGACATGTACTTTTAAATGCAGCCAGAAAAGTTTTCTTTAGTTAGGTAATTTGCATAATGCCTGTCTGCTTTAGTTTGCCAGATCTAGTCTCAGAGAGACACAAGAGACTCCACACTTTCACTTGCGAACTCTGCTAAAAGAGACAGAGTCTTAATTGAGCCAGTCTTCATCTTTCCCCGAAGCGGGGCCAGCATACCAGGGACAGATTTCATGCATATCCACAAGCAGAAAATATGTTCTTTTGACTACTACATGTGCTATCCAATTGGCATTGACACCTGTACAGATTCTCCATTATTGCTTGTACCTATTGACCATCCGTCATATAAGATGCTGCACTGCTGTGCATTTTTCATGCCTTCCAATGATGTAGTTAGCAATAAGTTTTGAAATGCCAGCACTCATAGTCTCAGTCACATTGCCAAAAGAAAATTCAAATATGGTAGACTGCAACTTGGTCCTTATCCATTTTGATAATTTTCATCTCCATCATCATGAGCAGATATTTTGTAAAGCCAATACTACTTTATTACCCCCAAATACTTTTTATTTCAATAGGCTTAGGTAAGACACACGTCTGATGCATACACATGCACACAGTTTCAGTGGAGTTATTATGAAGGTTTCTTTCTTTTGTTCATTCCTTATTTACTTTATTAATAACCCACCATTCTCACCATGGGAACTCAAAGTGGCTAACAGCCACACATTTTGGTTCCCATTTAATACAAAGCGAGTTCCATCTTGCATCTCATCACTATTACATCAGTGCTACTCAGAGTAGACTAGTGCAGATCTCTGAATCATTGGCTGCCTGTTCAAAAATCCAGGAAAGGAAGAAAGAAACAGCTGCATCCAATGGACACAAACACAGTGTTGGTCCCTAGCTCATCGAAAAATAATTGCTGGCTTGTCAAAGCACTGCTTTCATTTGTAAGGTACTGTATATGCTCGAGTATGATCCAAATTTTTCAGCCCTTTTTAGTGCTGAAAAAGCCCTCCTTGACTTATACTTGAGTGAGGGTACTGATCAGTTTATATTAGGGCCAGTTTATACTCAAGTATATAGCTAATCAGAGTTGGACAGTCTTATCTTAAATTACAGTTTTCAAATTAATGTAATTTTATTGGTATCTATTTTTATTTTTGAAATTTACCAGTAGCTGCTGCATTTCCCACCTTTGTCTCATACTCAAGTCAATAAGTTTTCCCAGTTTTTTTGTGGTAAAATTAGGCTTATATTCGGGTCGGCTTATGTTAGAGTATATAGGGTATTTCTATATGCCACCCTGGGAGATTCTTTCTTTTTTAGAATAGTGTGATAGAAGGATTTTTAAAAAAAATAAAATAAATGCAACATTGGTCCATCCATAGAAACGTACACAGACACTAATGTTTTTAGTCAGTGGCTCCTAGTCCTATTAAATTCACACCAACCATCACATGCACATGCAGCTGCTAAAGACGTATTTAACTGCTAAAGAAACCATTAAATATCAACGCAATCATCTCCCACACTAACACCAATTTCTCTCGAAGTGCAAAAAGGAAAGTCCTTATTCAACAACTCAGAAAGTTTTGTGTAAATGCTAAGACATAACATCATCATTAAACACTCCAGAAATGCTCTAGGGATTTGCCTCCCACCTTGGCATTAGTGGGATTTCAAAGTGTTCCTTCTGCCTTCCTGCCAGTAACATCACTAGTGGAATATGAGGGGGAGCATGCCACACCGGGTGACACCATCAGAGGGAGTGACACCAAAATGACTGTCTATAAAATGTCTGTGCAGTGTTTCAGCAGAAATGTAGTATTTCTTTAGTAAAAAATATCCTTGTAGTTAGATATGACCACAAGAATATTTTTATTAGCCCAGCTTACATGCACTGAAACAGTATTTCTAGGCTAAAAGCCTATGCTTGATTTCCTTTTTGAACCTTCTAATCCTCCGGTCAGAACTGACATCTTGTGGTTTCCTCTGTATGTGCACACACTGTTGTTTTCACAACTGTTAGTATTTTATAGTCACTGATTTTGTCAAGTTATCCAGTATTTTAGCTACTATATTATGGTGTGGTCTGATATGGGAGGAGGCCCATGAGAGTGACCCCATGACACACCGCATTGGGTAATACCAACCATAGTGACACAATTACTTTCTGCCCAAGACTACTTGGGCCCTTCTTCTCTGTGTCCTGAATTTCTTGAAATCACAGATCTCCAGTGGCATCAGTGGTGAAGGAGAACTGGCTGACACCATCAGAGGGATGACACCAAAATAACTATTAATTGTTTGTGCAGTTCTTCAGCAAAATATCCCTATAGCTCAGTGGATTTCCAACATGTGGTCCATAGACCAACAGTGGTCCGCAAGAATGAAAATATGATCTGCGGCCTCACCACTACTACACCGTTGCCTTGAAACAATGTGGTAACGAGAGAGGCTGGTCTTGCGAAATCTTATAGTGCCAAGGTAACAGGGATGTCGGGAGAGGAGAGGCTGACTACCCACAAAAGATTACTACTACCACATCAGCTCTAGATTATTAAAAATGGTTTTCTGTGGGTGAGCAGATGGCAACTACAGGATGACATATGTTTGGTATCAGAAACTAGAGCTGATGTGGTCTATCCAATTTTCTGAAACAGCACCCCAAATAACCAAACCAAATCTAAAGTTGACCAAAAATTGATTTGTAACCCTTTTGGTACTAATGTTGGAGAGTGGTCCCTGGTCAAGTGGTCCCTGGTCAAGTGGTCCCAGGTAAAAAAAAAAAGGTTGGGGAACACTACTATAGCTAGATATGACCACAGAGTTTACATGTGCTGTATCAATATACCTACAAGACAAAACTATAGGCTAATTGACTTTTTGAACCTTCTGATGCTCATGCTCTCTGGTCAGAGTTGTCATTATCCAGTTGCAATGATGTTTCATTTGCATGTGCTACAAGCACTGGCTGTTGTTTCCTTTGCTGCTGGTTTTTAGATATAAAATATATATCTGATTTTGTCAATATTTCTAGTACTTTAGATACAGTGTGGTACGATTTGCTTTGAGAGGAGGTCCATGGGGGTGACACCATGAGTTATCATACTGGGTGACACCAACCAAAGTGCTTCCAACGAAACATTATCAAGATGCTACCCTTTTCTCTGTGTGTCTTGACTCTTAAAATCACATGCCCATCTCTTAATCTAGTTTTACTAAGACAGAGATTCATCAAGATGAACACCATCTTACAATCTGAGAGGAAAAGGATAGTAATAGATGAAGGGTGCCCCTTTCCAGAAGGCTTTGGCCTAATCGCTGGACATTTAGGAAGGGTTTTAAAGGAGACTACATGAATGTTATTATCTCTGCCTCTCTCTGTGTCTTGAGGGAGTGGGACTGCAAATCCCTATTCATGCTCTAATTGGGAAGCTTTGCCGTGCCTTGTCCCAGCTGGGCCAGGCCCGTTGAAGGAGGCCTGCCCCCTTCATGCCAATGCATTTCCCATCCCGATCAGGGCAGCTGAGGGCTCCACTCCATACCCGCAGTGGGCCTCTCTTTTCTGTTTTTCCCCTTTTTCTTTTTCTCCCCCCACCAGCTTTGAGCAGGCCTGTTTCAGATTGGCCTTTTTATGTTTGATCTAAAGAATAGTTGTTGGCCAATTCCATCTTTTCATCACGGTTCTGCCAGGCCTAGATCCAAGCGGCTTGTCAGATGCTCATTAACTCCCCCTTTGGCTCTTTGCAGTGCGTCTCCTAAGCTCATTGTGCCAAGAACTGGCGCTTCTTTCTCTCCCTTTCTCTGCTCCATCAGGGAGACAAATTACTTTTCCAAAAAGGAAAAAAAAAAAGGTGCTGGGAGGGGGGAGAGAAGAAGGAGGCAATCGCCAGGGATGGTTTAATGAGAATTTCTCCAGAGCTGGCGGT